ATTCTTGCTTTCACAAAGTAACCGCAAGCTGATGTTATGGAAGTACTACGCCCACAACAGATGACTCCATTCTAGGTGGCCTGGAGTAGGGTTCAGTGAGATATATAAAGTTTCTAGATTCCTGAAGGAAGTGTCTGTCTGACATTCTGAAGTATCTGTTTCCATTAGGCTTACTCAATAAGACAGAGATAGTGCAATAACCCCTAGGAAGCAGATCCCATAGCACTATTATAAGAGGACACTAGAGATTATTTAATAAGGCAATATAAAAAGCAATGATCATGTAGTACAACATCACCCACCATTCAAATGAATGAAGTCAAGACAATGAAAAATGTATTGCTATTGGTTACTAAATTTTAACATTTTGTTTGATGCCTTATTAAAGGAAATCTATAGCGATAAAAAAACAAAAGCTGCCATCGTTAACTCCAACTCCCATTTTCTGAGACTACTAATTCCCTGGCTGTTTTTGGCATCACTGACCTTGAACAAGTATGAAAATTAGAAAGTCAGAGTAAAGCCAGTACTCCTAAACTGCATATTAGTTCCAGGTCAGTGCCCTGAAAACCACTAAAGCAATAGGAACAGTACTACAGCCAGGAAAAACAAGCATTCCCAAAGTGTACATATCTCCCACCTGTCTCATTTGGAGGGACCATCTCTCTTTTGAAACCAAATCCCATTGTCCTCCTAACTTGTCCATCCTTTTTGGTCTGATGTATAGACTACTACACAAAATACACAACTGCAGACAAAGAAGACCAATCTCCTGTGCTCAAGAGAAGTGCACTGGCAAAAGTCAATCCACAATCTTCGGTTAGTCCATTATGTGCATGAGCTTTGCTGCCCCATTCGGGCCAGGGGAACCCAGAGGAAGTACTGCAAAAACAAGGAATAGAGTTGCACCAACCTAGCGCATTACCTTACTGATTGCTTTATTTACAAAAAAAACAGGCACATTAAAATCCATAATGTACTAGGAGTGACCTGGTCACCTAGACAAGTCCCAAGTGCAAAAAGACCTTCCAAAGGCTGACACGTTTAGAGGGGGAATCCCCTCTTCCTCAGAGCCCTGGGCATCAGCCTTTGGATGGTCTTCTCATGCTTGGGACTTGTTTAGGTGATCCGGTCGATCCTAGTTCATTATGGATTTTGATGTGCTTTATTGCAGATGTGGTTTGTGAGTACACTCCTAGTTTTTTAACATAAATAAAGCTAATCGCTAAGGTAATGAGCTAGGTTGTTGTGCCCTCTATTCCTTGTTTTTACAAAATGCACAACTGAATGAGGAGCTTTGGTCATGAAAATTAAAAGTCAGCAGCTCCTAAAACAGTTAAACTTTTAATAAACAGACACTTACCTGTTCCAGGATCCAGAGCTGTGCTGGCTTGTCTTCACCAGTCTTCAGTCCCTGGAGCCAGCATTTCAACTGTGGACAGCTGGATGTGACTGCTTGTTGCTTCACAGCTGGCTGCCCATTGCGCATGTGCAAGCCGCTCTGAATGGTCCTGCAGCTTTCTGGGTCCTGTGATGTGTCCCACAAGGCTGCGGGTAGAAGAGGGGGGAGAACTTCTGGTGGAATCGCCTTGGCGATCCCAGCGTAAGTGGGAGCGGTTACCTGTCAAAACCAGGTATCCACTCCCCCCAAAAAATAAAATCCAAATGTGGCAGGGGGGTTTGGGTGAAGTTTCGCTTTAACCATCAGAAACGTTTTATTGCACCAAACCTTTCATACCACCTCTTTATTATCATACTACACATTTTGAATAACCAGTATATAGGAAAAGCAGTGGTTTAACTAATCACTATTTTGTGAATAAACCTCTCGTTATTGTTTGTGTGACTAAGAGCTTGGCATAGGTTTGTACTTTGTATATATATTAAAATGTATCCCTATTTCTTGTTTTAGAAAGTTGGAAGGAAAGACTTCAGCTTTCCATTGAATCACTCTCCATTATCTCCCTATGGAGGATTCAGCAGTGGCATCACAAAAAGGCTGGCAATGCAATTGCAGTAAAACTAAACATCTGTGTAGGGGGGAGAAGATTGGTGTTACTCTTTGAAAAGGTCAAGATCAGAGGAAACTCTTGGCTATTATGGAAGGACAACACAAATAAGAGGAAAAGCAAATATTATTCCCCATCTCTGCCGCTTAGGTAACTGTCCATAGTTCTATCACTGAATGTAACTGCATTGCCACCTGGTGGTTACCTTTTGTCAGAGTGACTTTACCCATGATCGGGATACAGTCCAGGTTTCAGGGTGAGTAAACGGGCTGTAGACAGTTTACAGGTCAACTCTGAAACACTGCTTATGAAATCACTAAGTGTAAGTACCTGAAAGGCAGAACTCTCAGAAACATTTGTCTAATTGTACCAAGAGCAGCCAAATGTACAGGATAGACACACATTTATATTATCTTTAGTGCTCTCTACTTATACTATCAAGGTCTTCCAAGCATTTCCTCTGTGATCCCCTCTATGCCACTTCATTGTTCGAGCGCACACCCACACACTCCATTCCTTGTGATTTTACACTTATACACTATATTGCCCAAAGTATTGGGACACCCCTCCAAATCACTGGATTCAGGTGTTCCAATCACCTCCATTAGCACAGGTGTATAAAATCAAGCACCTAGGCATGCAGACTGCTTCTACAAACATTTGTGAAAGAATGGGTCACTCTCAGGAACTCAGTGAATTCAAGCGTGGTAACGTGATAGGTTGCCACCTGTGCAATAAGTCCATCTGTGAAATTTCCTTACTACTAAATATTCCATGGCAGGGGCGGACTGACCATTCAGGCTCTCGGGCACTGCCCGAGGGCCCAGGGTCAGTAGGGGGCCCCATGAAATGCCCCTGGTACCTTTTATAGGCTTTTTTGGGTGTGCTTTGAGTGTGGGCAAGGACACAGGGGCCCCATGAGTTGTCAGTAGACCCCTGTTCCATGGTCAACTGTTGTTAGTGGTATTATAACAAAGTGGAAGCAACTGGGAACAGCAGCAACTCAGCCACCAAGTGGTAGGCCACGTAAAATGACAGAGCGGGGTCAGCGCATGTTGAAGCACACAGTGAGCAGAAGTTGCCAACTGTCAATAGCTGAAGACCTCCGAACTGTGTGTGGCCTCAGATTAGCACAACAACAGTGCATAGAGAGCTTCATGGTATCCGTTTCCATTTGTTGGGTTTCCCTTATGTTCAGAATATTGTTTACTTCTGTCTGTTGCTGGGAAGTGTCCTTTGTAGACATAGGAAGAAGAAACAATATTCCTGAGTTATGAATCCTTATATTGTTCTGGCAAATCCCTATGTTTATTGCCAGTGGTGCATGTTGAGGTGACTCCAACATGGAGTCTTGTCTGTCTAGTAGATCATTTCTGCTGGCTAACTCACACGTATATCCTCACACCAAGGCTGTGTTTTTGAATGGCAGCAACTGCAAGTGCCCTGAGCTCTCCTTAGTTCTTCATTATAAGGGTTGTTTGAATCTAGACACACACCCTGCTGGTCTCCAAAAAACCCTGTTCCCTGGGTTGGAGATTTCTTCCCTCCCAAGACACTACAAAATATTCAATCTATGGAGACCAATCTGGAAATTCCAAAATCTGGAGAAAGCTGTAAAAACAGTTTTCTCCGATCAAAATTGATACTCCTGAGTCCGGTACTCTGCACACATGTGAACCCTGTGTCCTATTTTAAACCAATTTCACAGTAGCATGGCCATGCACGATCACACTCTTTTGTGTTATATTTTAGGCCTGGTTAGTGCCAGTAAAAATAAAAAGTGTTCTGTGTAAATTATGTGATCCTAGCAGAGACGTGCATAACAAAGTTTGTAATCCAGATTTTTTTATTCCAAATTTTGTATCATAAAAAAAAAAATCCAACTAATTTTGGCAAAGGTTCTCCTTTATCACTGTTACTGCTTGAACAAAGAATGTACTGGACAGACAAAAATGGAGGGATTGTAAGGAGTAATTTGTTTGATGACTCAAAATGCATCTTAAGTAGTTGGCTTTTTAAAATACAAGTTTCAGGAAAATATTAAATCTAGCACTTTCCTCCTTGCACATGTAGTACTTAGTTGAGCTAATAGCCGTCCTGTTGGCCTCCACTTCTGGGACAGCTGCTTATAAGGGTAACCATTCCCTTTAAATTGCTTGAGGCCAGATTTGAAATATCCACTGTTATAAGAGATCCAGCACCCTGCAACTTTCCAGAGTTTATAATTCTACACTCTTCAGTGATGTTGTGTACCCCAACATTTTTTAAAATACGTATCCCACGCCGCCTATATGTTAAGTGTAGTTACATATACAAAATAAATGTATAATCCAATATTGAATCCTATCTTAGGGGAGGCTGCCAACAATAAAGTGTTCCCACAATAATTACTATGGACCCAAAAAATTAAATGTTGCGCCTCCCTGTAATCATATATACCAAGCACCAAAACGCATCAATTATATGATTTTCAACAATAGACAAACTTTTTTCCTTAAAACAAAAAACACGTCATATAATGTCCACAGTCCATAAATTGTGCTTAATATTTATCTTCCTTTGTGAAATGTGCCGCTTTATTATCTTCTGTGATAAACGTGCACCACCTCCTATGTTATTGTGAACAAACACACCGTGCATTCACCTCCGTTCAGTCCTGCGCTCACCTCCCCTTTTTGACCTGTCCTCTTAGGCTCAATGTACATGGGACACTTCTGAACGGTGGAAACTGACTGCTGGAAAACGTAGGTTAAAAAACGTCTGTTTAGCCGCGTTTGCATACCGTGTTTATGAGCGTTTGAATTTAGAAGCGTTTTTTAAAGATAACCTCAGGAGACCTTCCAAAATACTTAGAAGGCACTGTTTTGAAAGAAATAGAGAGAGCAGAAGTAGAGAGAGCAGTATTTGTTGAGATTAGCTGTCTTATTTTTTTTTTTTTTTGTGGTGTTTGGATGTGTTCAGCTCATTTCTGTGCAGAAATTATTGCAGCAGTGTCTAACATATTTTTTTTTATGCGAAACCTCAACATATGATGTACCAGGTCCATTTGAGTCCTGGGAAAATACTTTGCATGCATTTTTCATGATGAAAAAAGGCTCTGGACAGCATCTGGAAATGGAAGAGTTTGAAAAAAAAAAATCCAAATGCAAACGCTTATAAATGCGGTTAGCCGTGTTTACAAGTGTTTGGCATTTGTAACGCTGATAAAATCTACTCCTGAACGCAAGTTTGGTGCGTTAAAAAAAAAAATGACTGTAAACTCAACTGCCTGTAAACGACTGTAAACAACTGTAAATGACATAGTGTACATGGACATATAGGAAAACATTAGGGTGCATTCAGAGGCTGCTGAAAAAAATGTAGAAAAGCTCCTAAACGTGAGTTTATCAGCTGCAGTGTACATAGAGCCTTATAGGTCAGAATCGCTTGTTTCCCTTAATTGGGGTCCTTTAATCACCTCCTCTCCTCCTTATAGGCTCCCCCTCAGTTTTCCTTTGAAAAAGTTGTGATGACGTGACGCGTCAGGAAGTGACGTCAGACGTTACCGGAAATATCACGGCGGCCATTTTGGTTGAAGTCTGGACTTCCCATTAAGAACAGTGAGCTCTAAAGCTATCTACAATGCTGGTTTTCACTCTGTAAAGGCCATCTTCACTGCTGCATTAACTCTGTATGTAAGCGCTTTTTATTAAAGTCATATACTAATTTTAAAGAGCTTCTGCACGATGATCCTTTACTTTTATTTTGTGTACTTACATCGCTGAGTGTGGAGTCTGGTACTATAACCTGGACAGCAATTTGATCTGAGTTAAAGCTTGCAATACCTGTTAATCTGGTAAGGATTTAGGTTGACAGGTGTCACATTTATTCATTATCACGTGTTATCTGATCACTTGCGGATGGTTGTTGGAGCAGATTCACATTATATGAAGGATAATGGACACCACAGTGTCAGAAGGATCCTGGAGTAAAGAGAGTCTGTTTGTTATAAAGTCTGCACTACCTGCCTATTTGGTGAGGTATATTGATTGACAGGTGTCACATGATTTGATTGCATTATTTGAACACGTATTGTTGTGTTGCGTGGCACCTACTCACACCACATGGAGAAATGTTAATGATATAATAGAGTTCCTACTTAGCCTTGGATAAAGCAGGAACCCCAATCACTGGATTTATTTGTGATCATTTGGAAGCACATGCACCATGTATTATTGTGTTTAAGGATAATGCACTGTTTAGTTTATTTTTTTGAGGTACTAAGTAGAAGCAAATGTATTTCTCTGAGGATTTTTGAAAATGTAAGGATCACTAAGAACTGGTGGATTAAAAGAAGACTTTATTAGGATATACGGATGACTTGGGAAGGACTCTCATTAATTATTTTATTTGATTGGACACTGACCATTTTGTTAATTTAGAGACCTATTGTTTTTTCTATAAACTTTTTTTGGGTATCTGACTCTTTAAAAAGATGTGCTCCCCTGCGGTATGCTTACACATAAAAAAGTATCCCCATAGTGCAGTAAGTAGAATAAAAGTGATTTATTAGGAGTAAAAATGCACTCACGTAATAAAATGTTCAACAGCCATCAACGGCTCCTGCACCACTTCTGGTTCCGGCTCTCCCAGCGCCCTGGCTCTGGCTACATGTGTATTGTCACAGTCACGTGACTTCCTCAGTAGTACCTGAATGCAGGATTGAACGCTGGTGGATCCACGGTTTGTTTGTTCACAATAACATAGGAGGTGGTGCATGTTTATCACAGAAGATAAGGCAGCACATTTCATAAAGGAAGATAAATATTAAGCACAGTTTATGGACTGTGGACATTGTATGACGTGTTTTTGGTTTTAAGGAAAAATTTGTCTATTGTTGAAAATCATATCATTGTTTGTTTGATGATGAGTTTTGGTGCACAGTATATACGATTACAGGGAGGCGCAACATTTAATTTTTTGGGTCTATCACTCACCAGTGATGGAAATCTGGCCCTGATTGGGTGTGCATGTTTATGTAGTGATCAGACTCCCCAAAAGTCAGTCTTGATATGTGGGAAAAAGTTTTATCCAGAGGGAAAATCCATTGGAACAATGGCTGGCTGTGTGTGTCTGCAGAGGATGCACAGTACCACTGATTTACAGCTACCCCCAATTCTATCACGTGGATCTGTTAACAATCATCTCATATCAATAGGTAGCTTAAAACCTTGTTTTAGAAAATGTGTTTATATGGTGTTTCTTCAATATTTACACAAATACAAGGCTAATATAAAAACAGTGCATGTGGGCCCATTAAAGGTGGATTTCTGCTGAAACAAAAATGTATCAATAATATGATAATTTTGATAAAATACTCTATATTTAATAAAGATATGAGACTATCCTTGTCCAATAAAGCTACACAGGGTGATGATGTTTATGAACACCAGCATAACACGGGTCTCCAAACTTTTCTTTACATGGGCCACATTATATTCATGGACCAAAAATAACCAGTTTTGCAACCTAATGAATAAAACGTAAATAAATGAATTTGTTTTACTTAGATCTCTTTTGTAATCAGCATGATCTAATTTAGAACAAAAGAGAAATAACTTTAATATAACAAAGCAAAGTGTCCCCATCAGAGTCCCTCCTTACATCAGGGTCCATTACCACCAAGCTTCTTCCCTCATCTTACCACTGCTGGTGTTGACAGTCATCTACTGTGGCATTGCATGATAACTGAAGGGCTCATTCACACTACAAAGCACATAAAACATATGGACGTTGACCTTTGTTTTTCAACAAGTTGGACTATGTTTTACTACATTTTGAGATGCTTATTTTCAAAATGTCTTTTCTGTACAGACTACATCAGGGATCAAAATACTTTTTCTTCTCTTTTGATTAGGCGTGTTGTGTTGACACTCATTTTGTGCATTGTGCTGCATAAAATGCAGTATGCCTACGTTTTTCTTAATGCACATCAGTGCACTAGTGTGGTGTGAACAGGTAGCTTTGTTGTAATGCTTTGAATGAATTTAAAGTAGAACATTACCATAACAACTTGGAAAAAAAAAATATTCTTTAGCAAAGAACATACATTCCACATTGACCACTTCAATACTGGGCACTTTTACCCCCTTCCTGCCCAGGCCAATTTTCAGCTTTCAGTGCATTAATAATTATGCTACCAAAACTAGTGTGTGCTGTAAATTGCCTCCATCAAATGCTCGTTTTGCTTGTCGGAGGCTGCCATTTTGCTGAAGCTCAGCGCCCCTGAGCAGCAGTTAATCTTTAGGCTGTTAACAGATCAGCCTCTGCATTTCTGGCACAGTGCTGAAAAGTAGAGAGCAACTGAGCATGTGCAGAGCAGGGTGAGACAGTGTATTACTGGATCTTAAACTGTATAAGCACTTTATTTTTAATGTTTTACATAGCTATATCTGCAAAAGGGGCCAACCTGAAGTGATCTAGCCGGGCTTAATTTACTTTAAATAAAAATGTAAACAAAGATTGCTATTTTGGGATTAAGATTTTACTTACTGTGGGTGAACATTTGCTATCATATATGTAATATCTTAAAAAGGGTAAGTGTGGCTAATTCTGGATGATACTCTCTTGAGATTTGGAGTGTTCTTCTTAGCTTTGCTGTGACAGTTGGTGACTGCCAATGGAAACTGTTCTTCTGATGACCTGCTAGACATGAAGGATATCCCCGTTTCTGTTTCATTCATTCTGTGAACCCATGATTTCTCCACCTCTCCTGCTACTTCTTGATCACTCCCGTAACAAGCCATGAGGAAGCAAAGCCCTGCTCCTCTACTAAGATGGCCACCCCCATGCAGTCAGTCCTGCAGGAAAAAAACAGTTTCAGGGAGCCCACAGGCAATATTGGTAACTATTCCTTTCCACACTCCCTATGACATTTTGAGGGAATAGTTTCTGTTGTATAGGTGATCTTTAAACCTCAGGGATATTAGAGTTTACACATGGCCACACAATGTTAAAGGGAAACCCATAGTAAGTGGGTGGAGACACACACACACACACACACACACACACACACACACTTCATCAAGAATTGCAAAACAGTAGATCCCTTCTTGAAAAAGGATTACCCTTAAAAGCACAAATCTTCCTGAAATGTTTTACAAAACATCAGACGATCAAATATGTAGAAAAGATCAGACTACTCTATAAAGTATCTGGTCAACTTACCATATAACGCAGGTCGATTCACAGGCAAACTCTTCCCTATCAAAAAGTACTGCAAGTACCTTCAGTACAGATCCAACTCTAGTAAACAATAAACTTCCAGTGCACAAAGCCAGATCACACATTAAGTTTGCTGGTGTGAAGTTGCTTGTCTGCAGTTCTTTAATTCCAATCCCCATTGACGTAAATAGAATACAAATGTGTTTTGCATTGATAAAGTAGATCTGTAGACTCACCATTTATCACTGAAAAAAAATGTGCATTAATGCATACAGTGTCTTTCCAGTAGCTGCATGTTTGTGTGTCACAGGTGGTGTTCAGGAGCAGTAACAGGAGCCTGGGAGCTTATGACCTCCGTCTAGGGGGGAGCTCCTCCTCTGCCTTCCTTTATGTATATCAGGATACTCAGTTCTGCAAAAGGGTCAGTGCAATGTGCTACAGCAGGGGTCTCAAAACTTTCTAAACAAAGGGCCAATTTACTGTCCTTCAGACTTTAGGAGGGCTGGAGTGGTCTGTGGGAGTAGAAAATGTCCCAGCGTCCGTAGGAGTAATAAAAATTACAAAGTGCTTGTAGTCAGTGAAAAGAAGAATAGTGCCCCATCACTGGTATCAGTGGGAGGAATAGTGCCCCATCACTGGTGTCAGTGGGAGGAATAGTGCCCCATCATTGGTGTCAAGGGGAAGAATATTGTCCCATCATTGGTATTAGTGGGAATAGTGCCCCATCATTGGTGTCAGTGGGAGGAATAGTGCCCCATCATTGGTGTCAAGGGGAAGAATATTGCCCCATCATTGGTATTAGTGGGAGGAATAGTGCCCCATCATTGGTGACAGTGGGTGGAAAAGTGCTCCATCATTGGTGTCAAGGGGAAGAATATTGCCCCATCATTGGTATTAGTGGGAGGAATAGTGCCCCATCATTGGTGACAGTGGGTGGAAAAGTGCTCCATCATTGGTGTCAAGGGGGAAGAATATTGCCCCATCATTGGTATTAGTGGGAGGAATAGTGCCCTATCATTGGTGTCAGTTGGATGAGCAGTGCCCCATCATTGGTTTTAGTGGGAGGAATAGTGCCCCACCATTGGTGTCAGTGGGAGGAATAGTGCCCCATCATTGGTGTCAGTGGGA